GTTCTTCATCAGCTGTGTAAAAGCAAGAGCAGCCACAGCTTATTAAAGCTATGGATAAAAGAAGCTAACGCTACTGTACGAGGTGTAAGAAGTGAGGACAGCTCAACGGTTATCCTAAAGTTAGGAATGTTTATGTAAGGTTTTGGGAAGTTAGATAACTTGTGCACCATTTTAACTTGGTATAGGAACACTGTTAGGAAAAGGGCCTTTTCCCTAAATCAGGTCCTAACCCAAGTTACCATGGTTACCAAACAGTTAAAACAGAACCTGCTAGTTGGGAAGTTTTAGATTATTATATGAACAATCCTCGAGGTCTGATATGATCAATGCACGTCACAGACATCAGGCACACAGTGACATTTTCCCTCACTGCTATCTATGCAGCCAATCACAGACAGGCTTACTCATCAAAGGTTATCCCGTGGAGGCGTTGTCATAGAGATGGAGGAGGAGATGGGGCTTCGTTCTCGAGGCTTCTTATTTGCACATTATACAGGCTGTCAGGTCACTCGGAGGTGCACACCGCCTTGACGTCACGGGTTTGATTTCAAATGAGCTCTGCCACGACCTTTGTCATATGTCGTCCTCTCCTGCTTTGTGTTCATCCGACCTCTTAATGTAGAAATGCCATGACAATAATGTCAAAGGTTCCGGGGTCATCGGCGCAACAGCACAAGACTTCAGCAGGTAATCACTGGACAATTTGTTTTTGAAGAAATACTATGAAACAACGCATTTGGAATTAGGTAATAAGCAAAAAAAAAGAAAAGGTGTGAATGCAAATTTTAGATACTTCATATTAAGCACTTGAACCCCACCCCCACCCCCACCTTACCTCCTACTCCATGCTCCACAGTAGGAACCACACATGCCGGCATCATTAGTTCATCTTCCACTGGTCTAATGTCCATTCCATCTTCTTGAACCTGCACAAAAATACATTAGTGTAACACAAAATACAGCTAAGCTTTGAGTTATCTATTCTCACCATGTGCTAACCTGGAAAACCAGGTGAAATGCAGCAGAAAGACTGTGATTTGGCTGGAGGTTTACCCCTAAAGACACCTGGATGGAACTGCTCTGCTACCACAGGCTCAGAGGTTCCATTTCCATTCATAATTAATATGAAGAACAAAATAATACACTTATCACCTAATGGATGACAGGAACGTTATTGTAATATGGAGAAAATTCATCCTCGGACAGAAACAGAATCTGAGGGAGGGTCATTAGGTAGAAGTGTAATCGAGTTGTTAATTCAAGTCCAGGACACATTTGGAAAGTCTGACCCCAAGAAAAAACTGCTTTTCCTCACAGCAGCCCACCAGCTGGGGAGGGGGTTCGGTTCACCGCTTAGCTGTGTGACTCCAATTGGCTGAACTCCAAGTGACGTGCAGCCGGGCACCCGTGAACGCCGACGGTCCTCTGCGAGAGAAAATGTCACATTCTCAGGTCCATCAGAAACCGATATCCTTCCATTACCATACAAACTGGTCGTTTGGCCGTCTGAGGGGAAATCATGCAGAACATCTGACAGCGCTGCCTCGGCTCTGATTTCCTTCTGTTTTATGGCTCTGTTTGTTTTGCTGTGCAGAGGTGGAGGAGGCTGAGAGACTGAAAGAGGTGCAGTCATTTTAGCCGGCAGCAGGGAGCGAGTTGGAGGGCAACCCCAGACAGACAGAAAATGAAACGTAATTGAGACCATTTAATTTTTTGGTAAAACAAGGCACATGCAGAGGAAAGTGTCTCGAATTCAGCGTATTTTATATTATCACCAAAAAGGTGTCGTGAGATTCTGAAGACGTCTGTGATCATTCACTGACTAACAAACCAAAACTGGGTTTGGCTCTATTACCACGATGCTGTGACCCAGTGAACCAGCAACTCAATGAAACGGCCAAGACCAAGCATCCAGAAACAGCATTCACACCAGTAATACCAGTACAGAACTGGTTAGCATCAGTGGGTTTCCTCCCTGTTAAAACAAGGCACATGCAGAGGAAAGTGTCTCGAATTCAGCGTATTTTATATTATCACCAAAAAGGTGTCGTGAGATTCTGAAGACGTCTGTGATCATTCACTGACTAACAAACCAAAACTGGGTTTGGCTCTATTACCACGATGCTGTGACCCAGTGAACCAGCAACTCAATGAAACGGCCACGAACAAGCTTCCAGAAACAGCATTCACACCAGTAACACCAGTACAGAACTGGTTAGCACTAGTGGGTTTCCTCCCTGCAAAGCCAACTACACAAGCGACAATGCTAAATAAAGGCTTCAATGTCATGTTTGTTGGTTCACACATACAGTGGCTGAGAGCGCCTGAAAAACATTCCCACATCATTACTTAAATCCTTTTGTGACAACCCTGACAAGACAAACACCACCAATACGTTCAGTGATGTAGCTCTATTGGTCCAACCTGGCTGCTGGTTTGGTCTGAAGGGACTTAAGATGCTTTAACTTGCATTTTAATGCAACTTTAAATCTGCTGGTCAGACTTACACCTAGGAGGTAAGATGCTTTAACTTGCATTTTAATGCGACTTTAAATCTGCCGGTCAGACTTACACCTAGGAGGAACAGTCAGTCTCAAAGTGCAACAGCTCAACTGAAATCAACTCCTGTGCATGTAGCAGACCTATTTTTAACCATCTGACAGACATTTACATTACACAAGTGGCCGGACAGTGACAGACATGATCCATTGCAGCAATGCCGAAACCTCAGGTATACTGATATCAGCTGCTGATCGTCCCAGTGAGACTGACTCTTTGTTTGGGAACATTTGATAGCAGCTGGGGAGCGGATGTGTTTCAGCAGCACAGATACAGTATGTGAGGTATTTGGGTCAGTGAACACACGGTAGAAGCTACACTGTTTTGCTCCCTGTCAGTCAAGTCTGATAATGTCCTACTGGAGAGTTACTGGCTGGGGCCCAGAAAACATCTGACTTCATGTTTCTGTCTCTGGAAGCTGGTGTTTATTGATGTCGCCGTGTGTTATCTTGACAGAGCAGCAGTGATGTATCTGGGACATAAAGACCAGTCAAAGAGGAGCCTGCTCCCCTGGCAGCGACAGCTGTAAACACTCCACCATCTCTCACTCTATTTTCTTTCTTCTGTTGCTTTGGTTTAAAATGATCTCTTCAGCTTATGACTGTTTCAATCACAGGCATCTCTGCCACATCGTAAATACTGACTCCCACCTCCTGCCTTGACTCTTATTTCATTTTCCAGCACTTGGCTGTCTCACATGTTGGATCACAGGAAGATTGTTTTGGCAATCTGACAAAAACTGAGGCTACATGATGAAATCTAAAAGCTGGTTCCCTGTGTGTGCGTATATAATTACTTTATATGAATATAATTACTGTACAATTAGGGAAAATCATTTAATGGAAATGTTCATTGGTTCTGGCAAAGATTATGCTTGATTAATTATGTTAATTGATGAATTGGTGAGTTTGACTTACTCCGCTGGTTATTCAGCTCACGGATGATGTGTAGTACATGCACTTAAATTCATGTGCGCTCATATTTTTGATATTCAGCAAAATCACTGCTGATTCCCCAAGTCAGCTGTTTAGCCTGGTTCGTTTTACCAAACACCGGCACTGGGCAGAGGTCACAAGGCGGGGAATCGTCTAAAACTAATAATTCCTAAGGGGATTCTCCAAAGAGCAGGTTGAATTTGGGGTGAAATGTCTTGAACAATTCCATGTGATTAAATGGTGAAACTGTACATGGATTTTAAATTTTCACCCAGTGTGAAGACAAGATGATACACAACATGGTGCTTTAAAAAGTTGGGATTAAAATCATCTAAACTACCTTAAAGGTACATAAGGGAAACTGTGCATGTTAAAAAGGATTAATATTACATCAAACTGTCTGTGGACATAAACATGGACTGAGAAAAACTCCTAACTCATTAGTAATAATGGTGCCACAGTCGGGTGTTAGCTCCTGTCTTTTGGACCGACAGTAAACCCCCAGTAACACAGAGAAGCAGCTTCCCCTGGAGCAGAGAGACAAAGCTGAGACTCAGCAGGATGTGCAGATGCTTGCGGGGACAAAAACAGCAGATTCTGTAGTTTGAGACTGAGGTGGTTAAGCAGCTGGTGCAACATCTCAATGTCATTAAGTGGAGAATGACTCCGGGGGGTTTTCAGAGCATACTTCTCAGATGAGACAACCAGAGCAGGAAAACGTTGAAGAAAGCTGAGTTTTTAACCATGAACTTCATTTTAAAAAGAGTGACAAATGAAATTAGTAGTTAGAGACGGTTTAACTCCAACAGACGAGACCTCATGCCACGAGATTTCACATTAAAACATGACTATATTTGTTTGAGATGAGAGGTTGTCTCACAATGTCAATACACAACAGAACCAGAGCAGTAGCCGGCATGACGGAGTGTGAGGGTGGAATCAGCTTAGAAGACACCCCCACCGCCTTTTTACCTTCGGTTTGTGGAAAGGAGTTCAGTTAGAAGGTCAGATTTCTTACCAGACATTTAACCAAAACAAATTGTTGTGATAACCAATGAAGTCACTGAGCAGGGTTTATCTCATATAGCTGCCAAATGTTACATCAGTTAGCATCTGTCTTTGTCAAACGGAGCTGCTCAGGTACCACGTACAGTAGCTATAGATGTTTAGTCAGGCTGGTTTTAAAGTGAACGCTGTCTGGACCAGGTTTCAGTTCTTAAGGCTAATAAGCATAAGGTAATGCTGTAACTATTTCCAGATCTACTGCAGCCTGGTGACATTTGAGGTCAGTGACTTTTTTTTAAAATCACCAACAATAAAATATTTTAAGAACTGCTGACAGAAGTTGAGAGAAGGAACTAGGCTACAGCAGTGGCACAGAAGGAGACAGAAAAGCCAAGGAGGAAGAGGTCGGAACAATGTCCAATGTAGGAACAAAGGCCATCTCAAGCACTGACCATTTACTTCTGAGCTTCAGCAGCTGGTATGAAAGGCTGTGGAGCGACAGCACAGAGTGTGGACGCAGCGTTGAGGTGAGTCAAGGACACTCAGGCAGATGTTTGGAGGTGCTCCTTTGCTTCCAAGTGAGACCTGGAGGGGTATTTGAAGATGGAAGGCTGAATCTCCGTTGCTGTAAACACACTGATCGCTGTGGTAATTTGACTTCTGGCAAATGGAGTGGAAACTCCATCTAGTCAAGTGGCAGAGTGAGTCATGTCCTTGAAGAAGACACAGAGGCCGTTTTACTTCAGTGTTTCAGGAGCACACAACATTACATTACGGTCACTTTGGCTTGAGTTTAGAAGAACAGCCAGGTATGAAGCAGCGCTATGTGACTGACGAAGACGTGAGTGTTACTACTGCTAACAGGATATGACGCTGTCTGGACAGGCTTCATCTTTCAAAGTGTTTTATATTGGGGCAGAAGTAATGGCAGCAGATGTTAACAGAGCTTTATACCAGCAGGGGATTCAAAGCACCATGTGCTGGGAGATGAACTTCTTTCCCTTCAACCAACATGGAAAGATAGAATATGAGAGCTGCCAAGCAGGGGAGAGAGAGAGAGAGAGAGAGAACATTTAAAATATGCATAAAACTAAGCCACAATGCAATTTCCAGCTTTTTCTTTTTGGAAAACAACAAAAATAATTGTGCATAATGTACGTTCACTTCCTGGATTTAACTGCCGGGACTGTTTAGCTGAGCAGATGCTCGTCATGCCCTCGAAGTCGCAGACAAGTCTAGTTCCTTCAGTAATTCTGAAAGTTGATTGATTGACTGTCCTGCACAGAGCTCAAGTCTGGCTCAGCGGGGAGTCACCGCCTTCACGCCATCACAGCGGGGAGTCACCGCCTTCACGCCATCACAGCGGGGAGTCACCGCCTTCACGCCATCACAGCGGGGAGTCACAGCAGCTTCAGGTTTCTGTGGCAAAACGCCCCAGGGCCCCCC